CCCTAGCCAGCATGGCTAGCTAGGGAATTCTGGGAGTTGAAGTCCACACATCTTCATGCTGCCAAGGTTGAAAAACAGTGCGCTATAATCTAAGGCTTACAGGACAAAAAAGAACAGCTGCCATTGAAGTGAAAGCTGGTGTTATCCATCCCCTTAGGCTTTCTGTCAGAAAGCACATACATTGTAATTGTAGGTTTCCAAATAATGAGGTGGTTTTCTAAAATGAGGTTACCTGGACACAAGCCAGAGTAGATTCTATTCTTAATCAGAGTGATCACAGAACTGACAAAGTGGGATCCAAAGTGAAGATTGTGGTTAGTGCACATACCTAAAGCAAAAAAGAGAGATGAAGAAAGGGGTGTCCACAGGGAGGGGGTCAAGAACATCAAGATGGTACCCACAAGAATACAATCGAAGCCCAGCTCCTTTTTATACCCATTGTGACCTATGTAAAAAAGGGCAGGGCTTCAATCGTATGTCTTGACGTTTTGGACCCCCCCTGTGAGTCCCCCTGGATGAAGGGAAACATTTAATATTTTATGCCAATGAAAAATACTAGTGAAAAAATGCCTTTTGACTGCGTCCTATTTATTTTTCTTTTACTTAAAAAAAAGCCACAAATCACATGTACATTTCTGAGCCTGATGAACACTACTACAAAGATGCTCTTAACTGGAAAACAAATGTGAAAACAGCTTTAAATGACTCCAGAATGACCTCTTCTCTTTTGTGTTACACAAGGCATTAGAATTTGGGTCTGAAGCCTTTCCCTCAAGAATTATTTCCTGTATTTCTGATTAAGCAAAAATATTAAGAGAAATTCCAAAATGATTCATAAAAGTATTTTAGACAGACCATTTCAGAAATGTAAGAAAACAGACACAATTATTTTAATTGTGGTACATGTTTAAAATGTTTAATAATTTTGAAATCTGTGCAAGAATTGCAGCCAAAAATGCAGTCCACGGTTGAGCTGAAAGGCATTTGCTCTAAAAACACTCTGAAAAATGATTTTCTGTGATTTCTAACGTTGACGGTTTACTAGATGTTTCTCCAGTATTACATACATATAAAACATTAAATATTTCATTATCCATGGTGTGAAAGATAGGTGCAAATACAAATACAAATCTACAGGGCTTTAATTTACAGAACACATTTATTACAGAGTAAGTCAAGTTCAGGAATCTTCCAGGTATCTTCTTTGCTGACCAAATAGCTCTGGAGGTTTTTGGCTGCTACGTCCCTGGGTCTCTGCATGGGTAGAGGGTAAGGGTGTGTGTGAACACAGCCAGTGATGTCTGCAACAAACTGTCAAGACATTTGACACAAGTACATAAGTGCATGATGGCATCACACACAGGCCACAACTTATATACTTGTATCAGATGTCTTGACATTTTGCTGGCATCACACAAAATGCCACAACTTATGTCCTTCTGTTAGATGCCTTGACAGTTTGTTGCGGACACCACTAGCTGTGTTCACACATAACTCTAATCTAGGATTTTTAGACTTAACTGTGGAAGCCAAACTGGATCTACACAAAACACTAAACCATAAACCACAGTTTAGCAAATCAACCCATCTGGTTCTCACAATCTAATGTCAAAATCAGACAGGCTACATTAAGCTAGGGTTGTGCTAATTGGGTAACTGATTCCTAGCAGCGTCTTGCAGGGCCATGCAAAACAACTTTCCTAGAGGTATTAAAGCAGCTGGGTAATGTCCCACTTGCACTGCAGCAAAGCAGCTGTATTAGCTTTATCCGTATATTTAATTCCTTGCACTTGTATTTAATTGATTTCACTGATGAGGAGAGCTTTCTATTTTTATCCTTCTCTACCCTCATACACATACTCGGTTGTATCTGAAAAATCAAAAATGTTCATAAATGTTCTCCTAATTTGCATAGGTTTTGATTAGGCTGTTATGAAGCACAGCAGGAATATTATACATACTATCATAATGTCAAGATTCCTAGATTTCTAATAGCACAATCAGTAGGCTTACTTCCAAATAAGTGTGGAGAGGATTTTGGGCCTTAATTTCCCAATCTTACTTTACTCCATGGTCTTGGATACACTTATGGATTTCAGTGTAGCTGAGTAATTGATTAAAAGCTATAAAGCTTAAACATACAAGAGAAATATTCTTTAATAAGGTTGTTTTGGGTTGTTTTGTTTCTGAACAGATTAATTTACAAAGCAGTGAACATAATTAATATATGAAAATACAGATCCTTATCCAGCAACATGTGAAAATGTGGCTTCAAAGAAATAAAGCGGTTCATCGAAGAATGAAAAGGTGTGCAACAATAGGTGATTGGTTAATTAAAATGAAGCCTTTGATTGACCAAAGGTTGTCGTGCTTAACCACAGAAATGTTTAAAGAAAAAATGTATTCTTTCTAATAGTTACAGTTTTGCAATGGCAAAACTCTTATGGCATTCAGCCTTTTTCACACTCTGAGATGCTTCTTTTAAGATGACACCTCCTACTTTTACCTGTGCAAATTTGTTTAATTGTGCCTTTGCAATTGTTTAATTTTGTCTTTTGGAGATTTCCAGCTGTTTTGGAATCAGTATTTTGGCTGGGTTTTCTGGGAGCTGCAACCCCAACAAAATTGGAAGGCATCAGGTTGCAAAATAAATAAATAAATAAATCACCAACTAAAATTCATCCAGTTATTAAATCTGTAAGGCCAGAGTCCCAATTAAAATATCTGATCATTATGTCAGGAAAATTAAGTAAAAATAAATGCTTTGTTCTCTCTCTGTGTATCTATGTACCTGTTGAATCTCTTTATTTAAAAATTTCTCAGAATTGTAGCAACATTAAAGGAAAGGTTTTGACAAGTTAATATAATGTTCTCATAACAAGGTTGAAAATCAAATCTCCAATGCAACTGGAATGGAGTAATGGATTTGATCTGTAATATATCAAGCATGCCACATCTTAGGTAATAACAGAAAACCTTCTCAATTCATATTACATCGTCAATGCTAGGGAATTGGTAGTGCCACTGCAGTCTTTTAAGATTTCTAAAGAAACTCTCAAGTATAAGAAAAGTAAATATAGTCTTCAAATTGTTTACTATTAAGACAGATTATAAGGATATTGAACAGCCACCCTGTGATATTGATGAATTTTCTCCTGTAAAGTATCAGATGCATTTGATTGGATTTTCTTCTGACTTCTTTGATGAGGAAGGTCTTTGGAATATTTTTTCTCCACTGACCCTATCAAGGAAGTTCTGAAGGATTATTTTTTCTGCAGAAACAATGGAAAGGAGGTTATCACTTACAACTGAATAATCAGGCAAAATAAATTCCATTAATTATTTCTTATTCAGATTATGGATGGGTCGTCAAAGAGCCTTGCTTAGATGTCATATTAAAATAACTCTCTATATTTAATACGTTTTTTTTTTTAATGCAAGAGGAGTTGACAAGGACTAATAATTAGGAAGGGATTAACATTTTCCTCTCTTGCTGTGGTGCTTATGAAAATTGTTCCTCTAATTATGGTATTTTTCACAATGCAAGATTTTTACCCAATGCAAATTATTTCAGGACAGTTTTCATTTAAATCATAGAAGGAAAAGGTTACAATTATATTCCCACACCTACTACAGTGCCCATTATTACTCCCCCCCCCCACAACACACAATAACTGCCCAAAATCTGTCTAAAACCCTTGAGTCTCAACAGGGCCCAGTGGAGAGCTGTAACAAATACTTCTCACATTAATACAAACTTTTTTGGCATATATATTGAAAGGCTTCTGATTAAGATTGTCAGGCATGCAGACTCCCATGCTTCCAAACGAGATCTACTATCAACCCCTTTCTGGCTCTACTATTGCTTCTCCCAGCTGTTGTTACCTGTTCACTTGGCAATCAAGGCCTCCTTTCAGATGAACCCACTGACCCATATGTATCAAGTGATCCAGATGCTAATATTGTTTTTCATTCCCCAAAGATCTTGTTGCATGATCTTAGAGATGGGTTAATATGAATAATTATATAGTCATATTTGTTGCTTAAGTATACCAGGGGTCAATAATCTAGTACCTGAAGATGACTAAGCATCCCCAAACAACCCAAATGGCATCCACAAAACCCAAACTCAAACATTATTTTAAAATCAATGGCCCAAACTTCCAAGATCTTAATTCTGATGTCCCACATTAACTTATGTGAAAATGGTGAACAGTTTGTAATGTAAACACTCTGCCTTTTAATTATTCTTAATATTTATTGTTGGGTGATGCTGTCTGCCATATGAAAAGATTGTTGACTCCTACCTTATGTTATATGTTTTAGGTTCATTTAGGTAGGTAAAAGATGGAGGGCTTGAGGTAAATTTTGTAAACATAATTGTTATAATTGTTCACCACCCAGAGTCACTTGGCTGAGAAGGGCAGCTATAGAAATTCAAATAAATAAATAAATAAATAATGGAACAATATAAAAACTTACCATGCATATAGAAAGGTCAAATGCAAAGTCTTACCATATTTAGCATTATGAAATCCTATACAAACTTCTTTTTTCCCCCTCTATCATCTACCTGGTTTAGGAGCTCTTTCCACATATTCTTTAATTTCTTCTGGATCTACAGAATTCAGAACTGTTAGGATATCCAGATAATCTTTTCCAAAATCCCTTTGATAGGTGGACATATGTTTGCTATGTTCGTGATTCCAGATCTGAGCAATTGTCATTGAAGGCACTGTCCAGGCAAAACAATTAAAAGTCATGTCAAACTAGAATACAATTAAACAAAACTAAGTACTGTCTACATTTTTAAATCTTTCTGTTTCTCCATGCCACTTAGCCTGATGCCCCTCCTTCATTAGAAATGGCATGTTGTTGCCCATAAAGGCTCTCTACTCTCTTACAATTAGAGACTTTGAATCTGGGGGAATCTAAAACAGCATAAATCAATTGTAAAATTGAGCAGAGTGCCACTTTAGACCCCTTAAGACTGATGCCCTTAGAGTAATCCAAGGAAAAGATGCCTGGTAGCATAAGGAGCAACATGGCGGATTGGTGATCTTCTGCCAGGGGAGTAGAAATATTTGCACCATGATGATGACTAGCATTCTTTAGCTCAGAGACAGACCACATATGCCTGCCCCCAGCACTTATTCTGTGTCTACTGATTACAACCTCATTTCTCTGTTTCTTTCTTTTTGTTAAAATAAAGGTCAAAATGGCTCATGTAGTGTCCATGAAACTTAATACACAGCCATTTCGCACCTTAGGTTACAGATACCTGAAAATTAGCCTAAAAATCTAAGCCCTGTCCATTCTGGTGAAGATGATGCATCACTGTCCATACCATCTGTGATCCTTGGAAGTTGGAAAGAAAAATCTAAAAATGGAAGAAAGGAGACCTGTATAGTTAATTTATGGAACTATATAGTTCAGTTAAACACTGCTTACCAGCACCTTTGACTGGAATTTTACGTTTTGCATTACACCCATATTTCCAAGAGAAGTCCATTAATTCAGGTGCACGGACTTGTGGCTGATAATGGCGCCTGAATTCAGTATCTGGAGGTCTTGGGAGCAATGTTTTCCAGTCTGGAGGGAGAGTAACATCATCCCTTGGAGCGCCTGAAAAGATTTAATAATAGTATTATTGAGAAAGGGATGGGGAGATAGCAAGTGAAAAGCAAGTAACAGGAAACTATTTCAGTTGCAGTCCTAAGTACACCTACTTAAAAGTAAATCCTATTGATCTTACCAGGGCTCAAGTTGAGGGATGGTGCCTTATCAAATACCCCCCATGTAGTTCACCTCAAATTCACCATGTAAACATTTACTGCATGACTTCATCCAAAGAACTCTGCTTTTCAGGTTCTCCAAGGTTACAACTTTGGCTGGAGTTCTGTGTGTGGTTGCCTCTTGTAACCACCTACTAACAAGTCAGAACATTTTCTGGGGGTGTTTTCAGCTTTTGAGTCATAACTTTCAACATGTTCTTCATTACAGTATTTCAAGAGAAGGAAGGAAAACCACAATTTTTACCTGGTTGTATTCCTAAATAATCTCTTGTGTATACTGTTTTGTACTGCTTCTTTAGTACCTCCTCCAACTCTTGTTTACTAACAGGTTTTGTCCATGGTGAAAAACTATCTGTAGGTAATGGTGTTTCTTCTCGAGGCAGTTGCCATATCAGGAAACGCTAAAAAATGGAAAGAAGAAAATGACAAAGAACAAAAAAACTGTTTTTTTCTTAAAGAATCCATCCAAATTTGCTTTCAATTTTAATATGTCTTTTTAAAGCAATTTATTTTTTATGTTTCTAAAAATGCCAGTGATCATAAGTATTATTTATGTTTTCCATACCTATGAACTGCTTGTTTTAAACTTTTATCCCTAATTTTGCACAGATATATCAGAACAGAAATGTCTAGCCACTGACACATTTTTTTCTTTTGACAGAAAGTGTTATTTCCAACTTAAATTATCCTAGCTTCTTTCCTGCCCTACTTAAACTCTACAACTGCCCCTACCTCCTTTGGAGAAATTTTCATACACTATGTATACCTGTGTACCATGAAACCACGAATACCATTTTGTACACCAGTAACATAATTGGTGAACAATTGCCGGGGTCTTATTCAGCATTATAGTTGTTTGTTGTTTAACAAAAGGCAACAATCCCATTGTGAAGCATGTAGGAAAAACACTGACAGCATTATTGTTGGAAGCCACATGTTAGAAACTGTAATAAGGATGCTAATTGGAACAATCCTAAATTGTTATTCTGGAGTTCTAGAATCTTTTGAAGGTGGCTGAAGAAGGGTATTGTTAAACAAACTGGGAACATTCATAATAACGGTATTTAATTAGATTGAGTTTTTGCTCTAGTTCCACCCACTTCTTTACCTTGATCCTGCTGACGTCTGGAGGTGCAATCTCTGAAAAACCTGAGTACATAATACGCACGCTCTCTGTTCAAGTTCTACTCGGTATTAAGGCTGTGCAAACCATTTGGAGAGGTCCATCCAAACCTGCAACTTCAATTGTTGAAGTGCTGTCCTCTTGAAGGCTTTCCTACACAATGTGAGAACACATGCGCGCACATAAAAGGCACTTCTAACAAGCACAATGGAAGTGTTTTTTATGCACATGGATGCAGGCTCAGACAATATGGAGAAGCCTTTGAACCTGCCACACTAAGCCTTCTAGAGGATGCAGTGTTTGATGCTTCAGGCCATGGGTCTGGATAGATATATCCAGCAAAGCATTCTCTGACTGGTTTACATAGACTTGACCCAAGTGATGCTAAGCACTTACTTGGCTCTATACACACTATTTGTGATAAAAAGCAGTTTCTGGGCCACCCAAAATTTGAGTGGAGAAAGGCTTTTAACTTTTTGCCTTGAGTGTAATTCTGATCAGGACTGAAGGCTTCATACTTGTTGGAAGTATCATTAGATTCCATGTAACTCAGCGATAAATAAATACATACAAATTTGGACAACATTTAAGGCTCTGCAAAGCAACAGAAAGAAATTCTATGCAAAGCATAATAGCAAGAGTGAAGCATGCTGTCAAAAACAGCTGCATCCTTTGGAAGGCTCACATGGCTGCTTTGCACATTGTTCACATCTCTGTATGTGCATGGATAAGTGTATGCAGCCACTTCACTCTACTGGCAGTTCAATGGAAGTGTTGCTGTGGGTGTAAATTTAAGTGCAGAAAACCGAGGAGAGCCTTTGAAGCAGCTGTGCCTGGCCTGTGAGCAGATGCAGTTGTTTTAACACTCCAAAGAGGTGCACTTCTACATATTCAAATGCTGTTCACAAGTCTATTAAATATTTCTTATAACTAAGCCTTTCCTTTCCCATGATATCATCTCTGAATTTTGAAAACCAAATTACAATACATCCAAAATCATCAAAAATTAAAATATGAAGCATAAGTAAAATATGTTATTGAAATAACAATAACTTCGACCCTGCCTGTCCAGGTTGAGGATTGTTCCTGTCCCTTATTGTCTTGGACCCATTCCTTATAGGCTCTGCCTTGGAATATGGCTTCCAGCAGAACTGATCTCTGTAGATGCTCTTTTCAGTCGGTTCATCTACTTGAAAGGGAATGATGTGTCCTGTCCCTGCTCTGGCACTGCAAGAAACAAGACAATGACAGTGAAATCATATCTATCATCTCTGAACTATCTGAACCTGCAGCTATCTCTAAGCCTACTCAACTTCTCTTTTCAATAAAGTGTATATATATAACATATGAGCTTTTATTAAACAAAGAGGCCCATAAGAAACTGAGTGATACAATAAGTTTATATAATTCAATCTTTTCTTCATTAGCCCTCCCGAACCTAACCCTCCTGGTGTGCTGGGATTTCAGCTCCAGAATTTCCCGCTCAGTATGGCCACAGGCAAGTTGGCTAAGGGATGAAATATTTGCAGACTAGATGACCATGATCCAGGAAATATAACACTGTGATAATGTGGGATTTAAACTACCCTGATATCAACTGGGAATCAAATTCTGTGGCAATTGTGAATCCAACATATTCCTGATATGCTTTGCAGATAACTTCATTGTCCAAAAGGTAGAGAAGATGATAAATAAAAGATGAGGGAATGATGAAGGGAGTCTCTCATGGAGTGAATATGATTTGCAAACAGGGGTCTCAGGTTCAATTCTTGGAACCTCCAGTTAAAATACAGATAAATAGAAAGATGAATGTCTTGTAGCCTTGGGACCTGTGCTCAGAACAGACATATACTAGACTAGATAAATAAGTTTTACCTAGTAACTTCTCCCTATTGTCTGTGATGTTATCCCAGTGAAAACTAATATTACCACAAGCAAGTTTAGCTGGTGATAAGAAACCACAGAATAAAGGATTTTAGCTCAGATAGCAAGCTGCTGCAAAATCAGATGCAGTATCAAACAATCACATATTGAACTGATAGACAGAAATGGAGAACTGGGAACAGGTTTTTCCAACCTGGCACTATCCAGGGATGTCAGGATTACAACTTCTATAACTCATGTTGTCTGAGAATTATGTGATTTATAGTCCCAATGAACAAGTGGCAGTGATACATCCAAGAGCACTCTAAAACTGAAAGCTAAGCAATGAACGATAGCTATATAGGCAATAGTGAGTACTCCTATCTTAGTCAGTCCCCACATGGAATGCAAATCTTATCAGGGTATTATTTGATAGGACTAGTTATAAAGTGAGGAGAATAATGTATTTGTTTTCTTTTTCCTTATCCTTACAATTAATTAAAGACTATCCCACTGAAAAGAAGGGAAAAGATGCAAAGTCCCCAAATGATGATGGACTTAGAGTAGTTCCCACATACGAAAGGATGACAATGACTGGGGCTTTTTAACTTGGATTAAGGGCAAGTAAGGAAATTGTAGTCTATAAAATTATATGTAGCAGAAAAAGAAGATAAACTAAGGATTTTCTTCCTCTCTTACCTAAACTAAATGCAATAATATTCAGGACTGACAAAAGAAACTATTTATACAATGCAAAGTTAAACTTTGGAATTCATTCTATCACATGTGCATTAGCCCCTACATTAAACAATTTAGAAACAGACAACTTCATGGAGGGTTGGACTCTCAATGGCAACTAGTCCTAATGGCTATTTGCTACCTTCTGAATAATCTGGTAGCATTCCTTAAACGTTCCTTTAGTGGAAAAGGGATACTGCCATCCTGTCCATGTCTGCAGTACTCCTGAATGCATCTAGCCATTGTGTAGAACGCAGTGCTGGATTAAATGAACTTCTGGCCTGATTCAGAGGTCTCTTGATATATTCTTTAGGGAAACAAGTAATTGGCCAGTAATGCCACTACTGAACCATTCTCTTCTTTCTTTCTCTTCCATAGCAGTCCCAACACAGCATAATATCCCAAGATCTACAATCAAAGGATACATAATACCTGGACTGTACATAATGCTAAGCAGATTGTTTCCATCTAGCTCAGCATAATGTTGAACTAGTCTTGTTCAGCAAACTTTAGAAAAACTTGGTTTAGTGATATATGTAAATGTAGCCATGATATTAACTTTTTCTACTCAGCCTTGAAATTAAAAGGCTGTATGACAACTGTAATTTTGTTGATATAGAGTTTTAGTAGGAAGAACTTATTACAACAATGGATTATGTCTTGTGAATTTCTTAAAGGCTGAGAATGGCCAGTAGTAGATTTATTCTATGGTTTCTATTTGATAGCAGATAATTTATTGAAACAGCACTCTCTGGGGTGTGAATAGCCATTAGGATATGAGGAAGCTGACATATCCTTCTAACCTCAACTATGAGGCCAAAAGGTTGGTAATAAACTATCCTTCTGTCTGGCTTTCAGGCTCTCTATCAACAACCCTGGACATGTACTGTAGTGACAGAATCTTCAAACAGGCAGAGAATTAGTTGAAGGCTAAAAGCATATTTTGGTGGGATGTGTATCTTCTAGAAAACTGATTTAGGACTGCTTGGTTATGCTACTTGATTTATTTATGCTCTATTTATATGTCTAACTATCTCTCTTTTCCAAAGGAAGTAAATCTAGGTAGCACATACTTTGAACTTTTGACCATTTGGAAAATTGGTAAACATGTGAATATATTGGCAAGTTTGTATGACATATTAGAATTCTTATGCCCTGTATATGTATGCAATAAATTATATGAAAATACTATAGATATTGAATACCAATTCACAGTAATCAAAGATTGTTGGGCTGAATGTTAAAAATCTAGCTGATGCCATTTTCAATGGCATATTACATGAAAATAATATGGTGCACACTCTGGAAGTGTGTATCATGGAAAAATTCATAAACTGAGAATGTTTCTGTCCCAAGAGAAAGCATAGAACCAACATTCCTGACCAAAAAATTGTCAGCCCTAAACAAAGTATGTTCCACTAAGGAGCAAGGATTCCATTTCCAATCATATCCAGGGCATAAGAATCTAGGAGAGCATTATGAGTTTTTGATATTCCCTCCACACTGTAATTTACATGCTTAAGATGATAGCTATTTCTATTCCAAAAAAATTAACTCTAATTGAAAATATTCTTCAAATTGGGAAAGGACCCTTACCCTGAATTTACAGGGGAAAAAATTCTTTTATGTGGTGTTTTGGTTGAAGTAAACCATACCTATCATGAGAAACAGCAGACGTGAGAGGATAATTTTGAGCAAGGAATGGGCCTAGCAATCGGATACGGCTCAGAAACCAGTTCTAGACTAGGAACTTACGTGGCAGATTTTTCTTCAGAAGTGATGTCGTTTAAACCCACTTTTTAAAAAAGCATGAGGGATGTATTGGTTGAATTTAGAAATTATTCTGAAAACATTAATTTATCCTACTTTAAAAGTCAAAGATGGGGGAAATTGCAATTACACACTAGTTTGGTGGAAAAATATAGATAAGATAAACGACAGTAAATTGTTCTCAAGCTAAATAGTCTCCAGCATACATAAAACATAACCAACCAATCTTAAAGCTAGCCTCCTTTTCCATATACGCACGATGTAGCACTGGAGATACATAGGATAAAGTTTTAAGAAATAGATGAATAAAAGAAAATGAAAATGTTTTAAGAAATCAGATATGATTGAAAAGTTTAAATCAGTTAAATCAGCATAATCTTACCAATCTGCTTCAGCCTCTGATGTAGATTTAAAGACAAAATCATGTTTCATTGTCGATTCATAGGGATCCCACTTTAGTCTACCTACTAAAAACAGTACCTGTTAAGTGCTAGACATTTTACATACTTCCTAGGCTTACTAACCAAGAATGAACAAAATGATGGTCAGGCAACAGAACTTCCCAAGAGTCTTGGCATCAATGGGATATTACCTCCCAAAGTAAATAGCAGATTGGGTGGGGGAATCTGGATCAGTCTAAAGCTACAGTCTCTCTCTTTATATTATAACTTTCATCCAGATCCTTCTTCTCCCACTCAAAAGTACTATTTACTTTCATCATACTACTAATAATAATTCAACAAATTCTTATATCATAAGGAACTTCTCTATCACCAGTAAAGATAAAGAAAACACTCTTACAATTCAGCGAATTGACGAAACTCTCTGTTCTGCATTTCTTTTTCTGTTTTTCATAGCCAACCGGCAATTACAGAACCTTTGCCACACAACATTCAGGCTTCTGTTCTGACTTGCTTTAAAGAAACAGTATCAAAGAGGTTTTCTTCTTTTTTATCAAAGTGGCAGAAACCCATTCATATAATTCCCACCACTGAACTATACCCATCACTATTCGGTAATGGGGATGGGGGGTGGGGAAAGCTAGGAAAATAGCTCAAGGGACACCACAATAAATGTATTCCTCTTTAAAGTGCCACACATATCATCACTGCCTTTGTAACAGTAGTCTAAAACAGGTAGACCTCTTAAGTTTTCCTTCTCTAACCTGGCATCTTCTCGATGCGATGGGATTGCGGTGACCAAACTTCCTTGGGCCTTTGGCTGAGAATTCCAGCACTTGCAAACCAAACACATCAGAAACACAAAATTTAAAGCATTCCAACACACTTTAAAATTTTCATTCTCTGAATAAACTGTATTTAAAAGTCCTGGACAACCCTGTTATCAAACATATGGGTTAATAAACTGTAATACTAATCTTCCATTTTTATCAAATTTCACAAAGGGAAGTAGAAAGCTGGAAAAAAAAGATGTTATTTTTCTGAGCACAGAGACAGTAGCCTCTCCAGTTCCAGTGATCCCCACTCTTGTGATCCCCACTCAGAGTATGCTCTTTCTGTTCTATTTGGCTTATTCTCTTCCCCTGCACTCACCTGGCAGTGCAGGCCAAAAGAAACACAAGGCAAATTAGATTTTGTGCCTTTTCTCCACTGTAAGCATTAAATGGGGCCAAGAGGTTCTTGCTAGAATGCAGGCCTCATAGCTGACTATGTCAACTCCATTGCAAGAAAATATATTTTGGTTCAAATATTGCACTATGCCATGGTTTGTGGAGCCATACATGGTTAGAATTTAATTATATTCTAAACCAGCAACAAGTTTTGGACACTACAGTGCTTGGGTGAATTCACCCAATAAGCTAAGTTCAAACCAAACAAACCACATTATGGCTTTATACAAAGGTGCACAATCTGAAGTTCTGGAGCTCCATCTAAATCCTCAAAGCCTTGGAAATAGTGCCCAAAGACCCTTAACAGTTGTTAGAAAATTGTAAGTGTTCATGAGGCAGAAGGGGAACATTATTAAAAACATGACAGATGAGCAATCATATTAATACTTAATTTTAAATGAAACTAAATGAAATTGATTTTTTTCTTGGCTCCACACACTACTCAGCATGCTTCTGAAGGACAAATGGGATCCATGTTCTGCAAAACGTTGAACACTACTAGCTTAGTCCAATGTGTGAATCCAGTCAGTGCAACAGAGCAAATGTTGAGCTGTACCTATCATAGGCATAAAAAATCTGGTGATAATCCCGAAGGCTAAATATAGATAGCTGGCTGCAAGATATACAGTATTGGCTATTTCATTCGAACCATAGACTTTGGCTGGCTTTGCCCATCTTGATTTGTTTGTTTTCAAAGAAATATGTTGTGTGAACCCAGTCATTGTAATTTGAACCATGATTTATGGCTTAGCATGTTGAGCAAACTCAGGCAATTGTTATTCAACAAACTATTAATGTGATATATGAACTCTGTCTATAAAGGGCATTACAGATTAATTAATATGAATGATAATCCCTCTTTAGATTTTAGCAAACTGTCTTCTGATGAAGTAGATCTAGGAAGGGGGGCTTCAGGGGAGAAAGTTACTCTTCCTTCTAAGGCAGCAGCGTTGGTTGAAACTCCATTAAGGAATGCCAGTTAGGAAATTGACACACAGCTGTTTTGATTCCAGAACTGCCTCCTGTTATTACAGCAAGAGATGACACAAATGTGGAGTTTTTAGTTGTGATGTAGGCTATTGGCAGAAAGTTTTCAGAATACACAGCCAACGTGGATATTTTAGAAAGGAAATTTACTGATACACAGAAAAATAGTTAAAGGGCAAATAATTGTTGCTAAACCGAATGGAAAAAAAAAAGCCTAGAAAAGCAATACATAATAAGGGAAAAACAATCGGCAAGTTGAACTGGATCAGATCCAAGGTCAAGCATGCTGAAGCGTCCTGAATTTTCCTGATCTTGAAGATCAGCAGTTCCCGGCAGAGGCCATTCAGAAATGTTTTCAGGAGTTGTTTCAACAGCAGTAGGAGAATTTTATAGATACACCTGTTTGAACAATAATACAGCGCAAATGCTGTGGTGGTAGAGTTGGTTCGGGATGTGAATGTGCTTATATTCTGCAGCTATGCAGGAAAGCAACTTCTCTGGAATAGGCTCGAGAGAAATTAATGTTTCCTGACTTGCCATTAACAGTTTTAAAAAAAGAGTAAAGAATTCCACAACAGTGCATTGAAAAACAACTGATTGGAAGGTTACAAAGGCTTACTATAGATGTAATAAATTTGAAGGCACTTATGTGTACATAATTGGAGCAACTCTCAGCCTTGGAATTGTTTCTGTATTGACAGGAAGGAAAGATCAAACAATAGATTTAAAAACTGAGCTGTGGTATTTTGCATAAGTTGGTATTTTTGTATTATAGTAAAATAGGTAAATCTTATTATTAATGTAATTTCCCCCCTTTTTTCCTATATTTTATTCAATTCTTTGTATTCTTGTTAGTTCTTAGCTTATATTAGTCAGCTTTTAAATACAAAGCGTAGTCAGAATTTTTTGAATGGCATTTGCAAATTTGGTTTTTCTGTTTTGTTTTATTCAAGAAAATCAATAAATTTATTATTAAAAAAGAAAAAAAACATGCTAGTGCCTGTTGTGTGGGACTACTAATCTTATATAGTACTTATTCTGACTGAGGGAACAAGATGGTTTAGTCTTGTTTGTTTAATACAACTTGCAAACCAGGATCTTTGGCTTTCTCCTGTCTTAACAAGCCTGAGTTATAAGACGAGAACAAAGCTGGTTTCTGCATCTAGCTTGTTCAGACAGGAACAAGAATACACAAAATGATCAGCTACTGAAGGAGCTGTCCAGATCTGTATTCATTCCCACAGGAGGAATTGAGGAAGACCTACACAGTTGCTCCTTCGAAGCATGTTGCAATAAATACAACCACTTATACCCATTTCCTGAGCTTTATATTTTTAAAAAGGATCTTCTGTTAAAAGACATCTGGGTTTTCTCTTCAATCATGCAAGGGAACGTGCAGCTTTTTGTTGCTGTTTTGAATACCACCTAGACTAGAGGTTTTCAAAAATGTTCAGGCAGTGGAACCTGCTAGTTAAAAAAAAAAAAAAATCCCACAACCCCTGATCAAGAGATAAACTCAAGTGATGGAAAACTGGTTGTGTTCAAATGAACTTTTCCTTTTTTGGCCTTAGTCTCTAATGGAAACCTTCAAGTACTAGCAAAATGGTAGGTTCTGTGGAATGTGGTTTGAATAACCCTGGCCTAGATTGCAGTCTCCAATGGGAGACTAATATAAACATCACCCTCTCCTATTTGTTTGATTTGGACCTCTGAACAGCTGACTCCCACCCACCACTCAAACTGCTTTTAGGTCCCCGTAGGGCTTAGGGACTCTCTGAAAGTCCTCACTGCTAGCCACCATTACAAAATTAAACAGCAAAACTAAGGTGTGCTTGCTTGAATATTGAACCACAAACTAGTCAACCACCTTTTAGCCTACTGGTGTTAGTTTATAATTCAATTAATCATTTGAATCCAGGGATTGGGTTAAATAAGAAATCCTATTTAATTAGGGGTGTAATAAGCAAACACCATCTAAGGTAGGCAAGTAAAATGAGGTCCTTGCTGACCATTCACTGAGTCTTTGTATCTTAAACGTCAGAATTAGGATATATGACTTTGGCATCAGCAGAGTGCCATTTACAAATGTTTTAGTTAAATGTGCAAACGTCTGTTTTAAAATGTGGGAGAATTTTTTTATCCCACCTTTCCTTTCAAAGGAGCTTGTAGAGGCATTCCCTGCGCTGTTTTATTTCTATCAATCAGACTTCTCTGAGAAACAGCAGCCTCAAAGTCACCTGGTGAACTTCACAGCGGAGCTGGGCAACTTTGAACCTAGTTCTTGCCCGTTAGAGCCACACTGAGGAGTGTCACACATTGTTCTAGGCCTTGGTTTAACCATGATTTATTGAATGAAATCCTAATTAGCTTGATAGAGGCAACATAATAATCCAAAATCCCATTAGTCACAACATGTCATGAAACAAGCCACTGGGTGGCATCATTTTGCTTTCATTAGGCAGCATTTCTCCAACTTGGCAACTTTAAGACGTGTGGACGATCTTCCACAACATTCCCTCCCCCCCCGGGGGGGG